AAAATTAATAACGACTAATTTTGTTCTAGACAGGTCAGCTCATGTACAGCATTCATTTAGAACCCTGTGAATCTGTCATAAGATTTAAGTTTGCAAAATATCAGAGTACCCACGTATATGTTTGAAATCATATTACCGGAGAATCAGTGAACATTTCCCAACTTCCTTCTGTTGTAAAAGTAGAGGAAAAAGTAGAATAACAATAAGCAAGTGAGTCTTATGCACTTTCAGGACAATATTTTAATCACTAATAACAGAGCACATCACCACCTTGAAAAATATGATGTGGTAACAATGCCAAATACTGAAGCAGATTTTAATGCGTTCATATGTATTTTATCTTTGAAATTAGATTTTGGCTCCTAAAATACAATTATTTGCCAAGATTGCATGTGTTTGGATATTGGATGGAGGAGATTATTATACATAAAGATATTTAATTTAAAAAACCCCCCACATTTCAGCCCAGAACACAGGAAAAGAGAAGGCAGAATAAAGAATAACCTCCTGCTTTAGAGACATGCATTTCATAGAACATCACAAATTTACAGTAGTTTATTAAAAAAAAACACAGTATGGAGCTGTGAAATACATTGCTCAGCTTGTACATATGTTCCATAACTTTGTAGTTAGTGGCAGAAGTAATTCAAAGCTTTGCTTGTGATATACACAGAGCTGTTCAAAGGGGATAGATATTGGTCACAGTTTTTAAATTTGCCATAAATCCAATGCTATGTGCTAAAAGTGACAGTTATTCAAGTAGAGTTCAGATATGAAGGGGAATGATGGAATAAAAGCTAAAATAAACAGGTGGCTGGGCCCTGATTCTCATTTACACTGACATCCACTTACCCCACTTTGGCAGTCTAAAAGGGCTTTAAATTGAGAGTAAATATATAGTCCAGTATAAATGAGAATCACGCCCCAGGATCCAAGCTATTTATTAGTGCCTATGATTAGGGATCACTGGAATTTGCACTAGAAGCACTAGGGGAACTGCAGGACTAAAGGAGCTGCCATGTAGCTCACTTTCAGCATGAATTCCAGTGGTTCCTTTCTACAATACTGGCAGATTTAAATTAATACTTCTCCCACAAGAAAAAATATTCAGCTAAGTATTTAAAATGTATTTAAGCTTCCAGGCTGTTTAAATTATTTTAAACTGTACTTTATTTATAATTTAATAACATTCAGTAATTTCTGTAAATCAATCAACCCATTCTGTAATGTTTAAATGTTTAAAAAAGGCATAAGCAGTGACCTATAGAAAATACCATTTGTGCATGGCCACTAGGAGACAGACCAGGAATCCCTTTTTTCTTCAATCCTTTTACCTTGTGATGGTTCGGGATGTTTAATGCCCAGGAGACTGAGTAGGGCTGAAGGATAAAGACATCTTGTGTCACTCTGTTATCCAAAGGGCTCCAGAGGGAAAGTGGGTTAAATAGGGAGGTCTTCCCCTCATTATTTAGTGGTGCCATCTGAACAGTTTGTAGATGATTATTCAGGGTGGTAACAACCAAAGCTGACTGTGAACTGCAGAAGAATCTTGTAAAATTGAGTGAATGGACAAAAAAAATAGCAGACGTTGATAAATGCCAAGTGCTGCACCTGGGAAAGAATAACCCAAGATGCACATACACAGTGATGGGCTTTACATTAGCTGTTGCTACTCAAGTAAGATATTGTGGAGTTATTGTGGAGAATTGTCTGTAAACTTCACCCCAGTGTTCAAAACGGCCAATAGGATGTTAGGAATTATTAAGAAAAGGAATGAAAACAAAATGGAAAGTGTCATTATGCCATTATATAAATCAGTGGTAAGCATATAACTTGAAAACAGTTCTTGGGTAGTTCTGGTTCCCCCCACCTCCAAAAAGACATAGTAGAATTATAAAAAGGTACAGAGAAGGGAAACAAAGAGCAGGAGCATAAAGGGCTTCTGTATGAGGGGAGACAAAACAGGCTAGGACTTTTCAGCTTACAGAAAAGACAACTGCAGGGGGTGGGAGGGAGAAGACAGAGGTCTATAAAATAATAAAACATGAGGTGAGGGTACACACAGATTTAATAGTTGCTAGTGCTCACAATACCAGAGCTAGGGGACATACAAGGAAAATCATTAGGAAGCGAGTCAGAAACGAACAAAAGGAAGTTCTTTTTCACACTGTGAAAAAGTTTCATATTGTGGAACTCATCATCACAGGAGGTTGTGGGGCTGACAACCAAGTTCAGAAAAGGATAAAATAAATTTGCGTAGCACAGGTCCATCAGTGGGGATTAAATGTTATGGTGGAAGGTCTTCCAAATTAGGTCTTTCTAGGCCTTTAAATGCTGGAAGAAGGGCAAGGACAGATCCATGTGGATAGGCCCTGCATAATACCTTTCTCCATAGCCTTTGCTCTGTGCTACTGAGAGATATAGAATACGGGGCTTGTGGTCTGATTTATTATGACATCTTTTATGTTCTTATCCTTTTTAGCCAATTCAAGACGACTATCAATAGGTTCAAAAGGAGATCTATTCAGGCCATAGACAAAAGTGTGGTACTTAGTATGAATCTCTTGTGTATCTTTATAAAGTGCTGGAAAATACACGTACATTTTCTAAATTAAGACAGACTCTGGGTGCCCAAATATTTCTACAAATAAAGTAGCTGCTACTGTCATACAGTATAATATATATATGGTATAGCATATATATAGGGTACATATATGTATATGTATCACTAGCACACAGTAGTGACAGAGGTAATGGAAAGGCAATAAATATTCACAGATTAATTTTGTTTTCCTTCCTGCCCCTTTTCCCAAGCAGGATGGGGAAAGAGCACATAGCATTTGTAAGCAAGCTTTATATTACTTGCTTACAGTTAAGTAAGCTTTACATGCATTTATCTTACATAATCTTGTTATAAATCTAATTTCCTATATTTTACACCTTTATTTAATTATAACTGCATGACATATTCAAGTATGGACCTGTCAACAAGGACAGCACAAGTCACTGTCTTGAAGGGAAAGGCAATACAAATAATGAATTTAGGGCCATCTGTCAGACTTTGCTTTATTATTCAGAATCACCTTTTTTGTTCCCAGCCAATTTGGGTTATGAACAGACTTCATAATGTAAATAAGGGATGCCCAAGTTTGGGCCAGCTGTACCAAATGAGGTCAACTGAGTTTCTTTTTATCTATAAGCTGTTCTAGCTGATGGCCATGTGTGATGTGCTTGTGTTTGCTGAATTCTTCTCTTTTCCCACGCTTAAATCAATGTAAGGAGAGAAAAGAAATGAGCCAATAGCACTGAGTCCAGATACAGGGAGAAGAAAGAACAGAAGAACAGCAACTCAGGTGTACAACAGATCTGTGGTACTGGTGTTGCTAATATAAAAATGCAGCATAGTTTCCCGCTGGGTTTTGTTCCATCTTCTATATAACGTAGGCTGCACCTGCCTTTTTTCTTAGATACCTGGACAGGTTAGAAAAGCAGGCAGTACACAATAGGATGAAGTACAGCAAGGACAAGTGCAGAGTGCTGCACCTAGGTCGCAAAAGCATCCAGCACATCTACTGGCTGGGAAGTAACCCTCTCAGCAGCACAGAAGTGGAAAGGGATCTCGGAGTCACAGTGGACTCCAAGACAAACATGAGTCGCCAGTGTGATGAAACCATCAGCAAAACTGACTGTACTTTATCATACATACTGAGAGCCACATATGGTTAGGGGCTTACAGGTCAAACCCTATGAGGAGATACTAAGGGACCTGGACTTCTTCAGCCTCCACAAGAGAAGGCTGAGAGGTAATCTTGTGGCCGCCTACAAATTCATTAGAGGGGCACAGCAAGGAATCGGAGATGCTCTGTTCACCAGGGTGCCTCTTGGGGTAACAAGGAACAAAGGTCACAAACTGACAGAGAGCAGATTTAGGTTAGATATCAGAAATAACTTCTTCATGGTAAGGGTGGACAAAATTTGGAAGGGGCTTCCAAGGTGGTGCTCTCCCCTACCTTGGGGGTCTTTAAGAGAAGGCTGACCTCAGCACTCTTTCCTGCCTAGACAGGGGGTTGGACTCGATCTGTTGACGTCCCTTCCAACCCTAGCATCTATGAATCTGAGGAATGGCATTTGGTACCTGAAAGCTAAGCTAAGTCTATCCCAACCATGCAGTTGGTTTAAATAAATAAACAAGAACAATCATTTATATTAAATATACACCTTCAGTCAAAGTCTAATTCATAGATCACAATTAATGATGATGATTGAGTTTTGTAGCTTTTTGTATTGGTGATTTATTTCCTTGTTCATCAGAAGAGAGGGATGTGCTATATGTTCTCTATTTTTATACCTACATTTTCACTTCTGGAACTCTTTCTAAATCATTTGTTATCAGTCCTTCTAGGAATTATTGTTTGTGTTCTTGCATTTACTGCTTAACTTTTTACAGCACTATGAAAAAGAATACTAAGCCTATTCGTTTCTTTTAAGAAGTAGTAGCTAACAATTGCTGAATATATTAAAGCCCTGCTAATATTTTAATTTTACATTGTGTTTGATAAAAATCTCAAAATATTGAATAAGATAGAGAACATGGCAACTCACCATTTTTACCTTGCTTAAAATTATTCATATAGTGAAAAAACAATTCTGAATCTTTAATTAATGTTATTTTATTACTAATCTAGACCAATGACATTAAAATTATTTTAGATAAGTATATTTTAAAATAGACAACGCTTACATGACATCATTGAATCTAACATTTTATTTTAGAATTCCTTAGTACCTTCATATCAGGAGCAAAATGTGGCTGTTTAGGAAATAAACCCCAAATAAAATCTTGATTACTCCTGATGTGTAGATTTGATATATACAAAGAAAATTAGAAAGCTATCTGGTGCCCCACAAACTCCTAAGTTTTGCAAATATAAATATCTTTTTGAGATTTGTTATAAATAATTACATTCTTAGTTATTGAATCCACAAAAATAAACACTTACTACTGTGCACAGTCAATCAGTTGGTATTCGTTTGACCTCTCGAAGCATGCCTTTACTCCTTCATCATCCCAGAGCTTTTTTGCATGTTCAAAGAATTCCTGAAAATTGCAAATGTGACAAATAAGTGAAGATTTCTTGACTTAATTTAAAAAAAAGAACTTCTCTTCCGAAATCTTCATTTTTAGAATAGTTACTAAATGAAAAGTTATGCATTTAACGAAGAAAAAAAAGAACAGTAATTAGTAAAGTCACAGTAAGCTTAATTTACTGTACACACAGCTGCCAGTATAGTTTCCATTATCTGATACACTCAATGACTGACTTAACAATTCATGCAAGTCAACGTATGAAATTTACTGTAATTACAGGTGCTGCCTAGAACTGTTCTCAATTTTTAACTTTGTTTATAGCTGAGTCATGATTAGGTCACAAGAATGGTAGAGAAAATAGATTATTTTAGTCTAAAGGTAAGTTACTTGGAAAAAGAATCAAAGGGTAGCTTCTTAAAAAAATGGTTTCTTTCTCTCCACCCCCTCCCCCAATTTTGTCTGTAATTTTGCATACAGTGTATGAATTTGGGTGCAAGAATTTCATATACTTTGCTTTTCTACCTTCCCCAAAAGAGTACTTGCCTGTTCAATAAATAAAAATAAATAAACTGACATAGCTTAGCTTCCCTCCTATGTGACCAAAAGGAAACTAGAAATGAGAAAACCGGGTTGACAAATCCCAGTGCCAGAAGACAGTTTCAGGTAAAATCAAATTCACTGGTATATTGGAGTCTGAATAGCGGATCTTCTCGTGTGAAACAAACAAAGGTAAGTTAGCACCAACTTAAAATTGTAAGAAAACCTCTCTACAACACAACTGAATACCCAAGGGGTGAACATGAAAATCTTACAAAAGAATCTCAAAGGGCAACAACCTTTATTTTTGCTGTGAAACACAGTCTATCGGAAGACTCAGCAACTGAGCAAAAGACCCTCTGTACATTAGTTTCTTGTTGCTACTCACAAATCAGATCCTCTATGAATTACATATTCAAAAGACTCTGGTCTCAACTTCTGGAGATCAGGGAGCTACACATCTGGAAATGCACAATAAATAAAAGACCCCTGTCCTCAACCCAAACTAACTCAACTTCCCTCCCACCACATATTTTTAAAAAAGATAGGAATGCCCCCAGAGAAAGCACTGTCTTTTTGGCACAGCCAACCTGAATAATTGATACCTTGATGTAGGCACTCATATTAGCCTAGCTTGACTGTGAGGATTCCTACAGTAAATCCCTACTTTCAGTACCTTAAGTTTCTGTATTTATGCACATGTGTGTGGGGGTGTGCGTGTGTGTGGTTCTTTGGACTAAGATGCCTCAGGATTATTTTCAAAGCTTGTCTACATGGGAAAGATGGTCTATAGTAAACTACAGAATGAATTTACAGTGCACCAATTACTTTGCACTCCTGTCTGGATTTCCTTAGTGCATACTAAGATGCCTGCGTGAAAAGTAGCTTTGGTCATTTTGAAATACAGTAAGAAACCTCAACCTTAATGCACACGAAGAGTGCCCACATGGGGAATTAGTGCAGATAAGCTAAGGTGCTGTAAATTCACACCTTACCTTACTGTGCCATAACTTTCCCATGTAGATACACCCTCAGACAGTGGTGGAGGAGCTTGTCTATCTTTTGGGAACAAAAAAAGGCTATGTCTTGACAAAGGTTAGAGAGACTGAGTCATTTTGATAACAGGTCCTGTTTTACAGTCAATGTAAAATTTAGAATTGCCAACTATTATGCTCCTTTAGCCTTACAGAACTACAGATCTTCCAGAAGCTGGTGGACTTAATGGACTCAGTTACTTGCATAGACGAGAGGAACTGCTGCTCCTAATTTCAGAAGGGCAGCTGGTCGCTACCACAGTACCAAAGACTACTATGGATACAGCCAACCGTGTACTTAGCTCCATGACATCTGCAGTGGTCACTGAGCTGCTTATCATGGCTGCAGGGACTGAACTTTCCTAAGGAGATCAGAACTACAGGGGAAGACTTCCCATTGAGGGCCACAGAGATTTTCATCTTCAGGAGTGACAAAATTTTATATACTCTAAAAGATTCAAGTCATCCTCTGTTCCTTGGGAAGTACTTTCTCTCTTTAAAAATGCAGTTTTGAAAATCAGTCCTGTGCAGCACAGAGGGGAGGTCCTCTTTCACTAGTGCTGCTTCTGCTTCACTGGTGCAGCTACCACCTCAAAATAGGGATGAAATGGACAGAAACAACTGGCTGTATCATACAACTCAGTGCAGACCCAAACCTTCCTACTGTCCATAACATAAAATCCTTAAATATATGCTTATGTGTGCACTATACAGATCCTGTTCAGGCAAGAAGTCATAGTCAGGGAGTCATAGAGAAGTAGGTCTGGAAGAGACCTCCAGAGGTCATCTAGTTCAACCCCCTGCCTGAGGCAGGATCACCCCTATCCAAAACATCATTTAAACTTATTGCGGTCAACCCTCATGCAACACAGACCTAACACCCTAACCTGCCACAGGTAAAGCAAGGAAACCATGGCAACCAATGTCCTGCTTCTATAAAATGTCAATATAGGCTCTAGAGGTCCCAGGTAGAGGGCAATGTCCCTGTCTATAGAAGAAAGCAAAAAACCCCACAGTCTGTACCAATCTGCCTATGGTACAAAATTCCTTCCTCACCCCAAATATGGTGACTGGTCTGACCCTGAGTGCAGGGGCAAGACCCTCTAGGCAGGAATGTCTGGCTTTAGTCCCAGCAGGAGCATTGGCACATCCCAGTCAAAACCTCAGCTTTGGCTGTAGCCAGCACCTACCACCTGTGAAAAGCCTTAAAAACACCCTGACACATATAGAGGGGGAGGAAGCAACCAGAAAGTCCAGAAGCATGGGAAATACTCATGGCATAACATAGGCATAGCTATACCTATGTAAAACTACATCCCACAACTTCTTTAAGCAATCTATTCCACTGCCTCATTGGTTTTAACAGTGAAGTTTTTCTGGCTATCCAGCTTAAATGTACTTTGCTGCAAATTCCAGCCACTGGTCTACATCCTCATTCCTGCAGCAAGAGAGAACAGGCGCTTTCCCTCTTCTTTATGGCAGCCCTTCAAGTATTTGAAGACTGCTATCATGTCCCCTCTTAAGCACTGTTTCCACAAGCTGATCATGCCTAATTCCTTCAGCCTCTACTTGTATAACCTGCTTTCCAAGCCCTTGATCGTCTTTGT